GTGATAGGGTTGTTTCTCTCTTTCCTAAAGACTCAGCTAGCCCCCTACTGCCTTCTTGCTGCTTCAGTGCCCATCTCTCTCCCCCGGCACCCCGTGCTGAAATCCAGAGCTGTGCATCCATCCATCTCCAGGCCTGCCCCTTGGATGACCTGTGTGGGAGTTGGAGAGAGGGACGTCAAAGCAACAGATGGCATGTGGAGGACAAGCCATCTGTCTTTTGACCTGCACCATGGGCTCTGCTCTCCCTGCCCCTTTGGGAGTCCCTGGTGTCCCCCCTGCGTCTGGGGCAGCCTTCCTTTTCTTCACGCCCCTCTCCATCTCCAACCAAGCACTGGTTTCTGCCCCAAATCTCCCTCAAACCCGAGCCCTGACCCCTGCTTTCCTTCTCTCTGGGGAGGGCTCTAAGGAACTCCAGGTCTCCGGGAAGCCTCGTGGCCCCATGTCCAGGTGTGATGTCCTTGCCTGAAGCCCCATAAGAGGAGGTGCTTTATCTCGAGATTGTACTTCCCTGTGTATCTGCATGGAGGCCACCAGGGAGGTGTATCCCCAGACATCTCTTCCCTGCGCCCTAGAGACTTCCAACAGAGGGCACCTCCCAACAGGAGAGAGGTCTTCCTTCCCAGCAGGTTCCAGGCAGATCGATGTAACAATTGGTGGTGGAGAGTCGGGAATGTTGGGGAGGAAGAAAGGGTGGGGGACAAGGGCCAGCACTGGGGCAGGGGTGAGGGCCAGTAGCTCCTTCAAGGGACTTCAATAAGATAGGATGGGGGCTGGGCATGGTGGCTCACACCTGTAATCCCAGCACTTGGGAATGCCAAGGTGGGTGGATCATCTGAGGTCAGGAGTTCGAGACCAGCCTGGCCAACATGGTAAGACCTCAGCTCTACTAAAAATACAAAAGTAGCTGGGTGTGGTGGTGGGCGCCTGTAGTCCCAGCTCTTTAGGAGGCTGAAGCAGGAGAATTGCTTGAACCTGGGAGGCGAAGGTTGCAGTGAGCCGAGACTGCACCACTCCACTCCAGCCTGGGTGACAAGAGCGAGACTCCATCTCTCTCTCTCTCTCTCTCTCTCTCACACACACACACACACCACACACCACACACACACACAGACTAGACTGGTATTGGGACACCTGTATGTTCACTGAGACATGAGAAGGAAGGCTGGCATACATATGCAGGTGTGTGTCTGTGTCTGTGCGTGTGCATGAGGTGCTTTCTGGAATTCTCAACCCCCAGAATGCTAAGAGCCAATCACACTTATTTGGAACCCACTTTCCACCCCGCTCCTCTGGTGTCTACACTGGGGTGTGTGTAGGCTGGAGGAGCAGCTCTCTTTCTTCCCCGTATGTCCCCGTCCTAGGTCCAGGCCTCACCCAGGGCACACTCTCAGCAGTGATCTGTGGAGCGACGGTGAATGGGAGGCATGGCCGGCAGGATTCTGAGCTGGCTCCCAGGGTTTTTGGGCCCGGTGCACACATACCTGCTATTCAAACAAAACATAATTTAGGTGTTACCACAAAGGAGCTTTGTAGATGTAATTATGTTCCCAAATCGGTTGAATTTAAGATAAGGTTACCCAGGTGGGACTGAGCTACTCCCATGACCCTTTAAATCTGGGTCCAGAGGTTAGAGAAAAAGCTCGGGAATCGGAAGTGCAGGACGTGGGTGGTCTCTGGGAGCTGAGAGTGCCCTCGGCCGACAGCCATCAAGGAAACAGGTTTTCAGTGCTACAGCTTGTGAAGAGCTGAAGTCTGTGAGCCTCCTGAATGAGCTGGGAGGTGGACTGTGTTAGCCCATTTTGACACTGCTATAAAGAAACACCTGAGACTGAGCAATTTATAAAGAAAAGAGGCGTGGGCCGGGCACGGTGAAGGCCGGGCACCAGGAAGCTCAGAAGGTCGTGAGTGACTCAGACCACTCAGCGGCCAAGTGCTGGAGCACGCATGGAAGGCCAGGCCTCCCGCCTCCAGGGTTTCAGCTGCCCCACACCTGCCGCTTCCAAGTTTACCTATATTCAAAATCATTGCAGCTCTCTCCAGATAAGATATAAAAACGGCCCCCTAGGTCATTAAAAGACGCTCACTGTTGTCAGTTGTTAGGGAAATCCGAGTGCAAACCACAATGAGATGGCGTCTCACACTCACTGGAACGTGTATAAGCACAAAGTCACACGGCAGCAAGAGTTAGAGAAGATGTGGGGATGCCGGACCCTTGGCCCGGTGAAAACGTAGCATGGCTGAAGTGGCTGCTCCTCACATAAGTTAAGCATAGAACTGCCACTCCAGCCAGCCAGCCCACGGCTGGGTTTATGCCCAAGAGAAATGGAGACATATGCCCACACCAAAACCTGCACATGAATGTTCCTAGCAGTCCTGTTCCTAAGAGCCAAAAGGTGGAAATAACCTACGTGTCCATCAACTGGGGGATGGAGAGACGAATGCGGCCCGTCCATACGGTGGAGTATTACCCAGCCAGAAAGAAAGCAGTGACACACACAACAGTGTGGATGAACCCTGAGAACACTGGGCTCAGTGATAGAATCCAGACACAAAGATCACCGATGATACGATTCCATGTACAGAAAATGACCAGGATAGGCGAATCCATGGAGACTGAAAGCAGAACGAGGGTTGCCAGGGGCTGGCGGGACACGGAGGAATGGTGAGGTGGTAGCTGAAGTCTATGGACTTTCTTTGGAGGTGATAAAAATGTAGTAAAATCGACTGTGTTGATAATTGCACTACTGAATATTCTAAAGGCCATTAAATTGGAGATTTTACAGGTGAACTGTATGGTGGGTGAATTATGTCTCAATAAAGCTGTTACCAAAAAATAAAAAAAGCATTGCTGCTGAAACCCAGCCCCATTCTGTCCGGTTCCCTCCTATCTGGCTGTGGATGTGGCAGCTCCGTGGACAGGTGCCATCTATCAAGGCAGGGAGCCTTCGAGGAGCCCCCGGCCCCCCTCCTGCAGAAGGAGCCCCCCAACCCCGAGTGTCCCTGGGAGGCTCTGCTCCTCCTCAGCTTCCAGGTCTCCAAGTGGGCAGCCTGCAGCCTCCAGGGGCTGATGTTCCTGAACTTGTCCTCACAGGGAGGGTAGTCTTGAAGACTTTCAAGCCTGGATGAAATGTTTCGTTTGTTTGTTTGAGATGGAATCTGGCTCTGTTGCCCAGACTGGAGTGTAGTGGTGCGATCTCAGCTCACTGCAACCTCCGCCTCCAGGTTCAAGACATTCTCCTGCCTCAGCCTCCCTAGTAGTTGGAATTACAGGCACACACCATGCCTGGCAGATTTTTCTGTTTGTTTATTTTTGTATTTTTAGTAGGGATGGGGTTTCACCGTATTGGCCAGGTTGGTTTCAAACTCCTGACCTCAAGTGATCCCCCCACCATGGCTTCCCAAAGTGCTGGGATTATAGGCATGAGTCACAGCGCCCGCCCTCTGGATGAAATGTTAACTGTTATTTTCTGAGCATTAATCCCGTGCAGGGCAAAGGACATTATCTCTGGCCACTGTGGTGGTGGCCACGTAGAGGATCTTCTGTGCACATTTTGCAGGGAGAGCCTTTGGGGGCCCTGTGGCAAAGAGGTTGAATGACACCCAAGGGGGCAGAGTCAGGGTAGGACCTGGTCTCTGATGCTGAGGTTCTTGCCCCTCTGCCCCACAGCTTCCTGATGTGGGTTGTTCTCAGGCAGACATCCCCTAGCCAGCCGCAGAGGGGCACCAGCGGCTGCCTCAAGGTCCAAGGTTTGGGGGAGCTGCTGTGGCTGAGCACTGGCCTGCATGTGGGGGCAGTGCCGTGAGGCTGGGCCTTATTCTTTCTATAAAATGAGGAGTTGGTCTTGATCATAATTGTGTAGAGGATTGAGTAGTGGCCCCTCAAAAGATGTGTCTAAGCCCTACCCCCAGTGCCTGTGAATGTCACTTACTTGCAAATAGTGTCTTTGCAGATGTGATTAAGAATCTTGACCGGGCATGGGGGCTCACGCCTGTAATCCCTGCACTTTGGGAGGCTGAGGTGGGCAGATCACTTGAGGTCAGAAGTTTGAGACCAGCCTGGCCAACATGGAGAAACCCTGTCTCTACTGAAAATACAAAAATTAGCAGTATGTCCTGGCAGGCTTCTGTAATCCCAGCTTCTTGGGAGGCTGAGGCAGGAGAATCACTTAGACCCGGGAGGTGGAGTTTGCAGTGAGCGGAGATCATGCCACTGCACTCCAGCCTGGGTGACAGAGCGAGACTCCGTCTCAAAAAAAAAAAAAAAAAAAAAAAAAAATCTGGAGTTGAGCTCATCTTGGATTCAGAGCGAGCCCTAAACCCAGTGAATGGTGTCCTCATGAGGTTAGACAGACAGAAGGCGGTGGACAGCCACGTGGGAGGATGGAGGCGGAGACTACAGAGAGGCTTCCACAGCCACAGCGGCCAAGTGTAGAGGTGACCCTCAGAAGCTGGAGGGCCACAGAACAGACGGCCCTCCGAGCCTCTGCCAGGACCCGCCCTGCCCTGGCTTTGACTCCTGACTTCTGGGTTTGTGATCCTTCGTTGTAGCATCCACAGGGTGTGAATCCTCCTGCAGAATTACAGGGAACATGTTCCTGCACACTGCAAACCCTGACTAAAGCCACGTTTGCCGAGAGCTCCGCCGGAGTTAGGGAAGCAGCAAATACAGCTCTAACATCGTAAAACCATTCAAACTAAATGTCCTCAGCGTTGTCCCCAAACATGTTCCCTTCCTATGTATGGGGACAGGTTCCGCTAAGGCGCCCAATGCTGATGACTCACCTGCCCGCCCTCCCCTTTTCTCCCTGCCTAGCTGGAGCCACCTTCCTCCATGGCGCCCCTGCAGGCCCCCAGCCTTGGTGTCACAAGATGAGCCTTTAACATACAGGTCTGTCCCTTTTTCCCTCCAGCCCACAATGGAAGGAGGGTGGGGCCTCACAGGTGCCACCCCGAGGCCTGGCATCATCGGGCTGGCCCCAGTGAGGAGAAGGCTTTGACTCCATGATGAATCCTTTATCGGGGGCTGACTCCAGGCCCGGCTGTGGTCTATTTTGTAGAAACTGCTGGAGAGACCTGTTTTGCTGGGCTGATGGACTCAGCACTAACGAGGGGAACAGGGCGAGGTCCTCGGTCCAGCAAGTGAGGAGGGATTCCAGATGAGCCCCTTGACCATCTTCCTATGCGCAGGTGGCTTTCGGGGTGCTGAAGATGGAAACAGCCTGGTCTTCACCGTCCAGGCCCTGACGGAGGAAGGCGCTCCCGAGCGAGGCTGAGGGCCCCTTTTCAGACACACAGTGGCACCTTGTTTCTCTGGGCTGGGGCTTTGAGGTGGGCCAGTGTTGCTGGCATGGGCCCCTAAGTTGTGGGCGCTTGGAGGGATGGAGGCCTTTAGGCTGCAACAAGTTACCTGTCTTGGCTTCTGGTTCCTCAGCTATTAAACCAGATGGTCAGAGCAGGGAGGCTGAGGGTCCCGTCAAGGTCTGCAGGTGGATGACCTGTGTGCAGAGGCTGCACTGTGAGCGAAGACCCGGGCTGGAGGATGTTTCCCGTGCCACCACTGCAGGGAGGAAGAGAGTGAATCCCTGTGAATGCGCAGAGAAGGGCGAGGGGAGGGTGCAGAGGCAGGTGGGGGAGGGAGGGAGGTTAGGGCAGGCTGGTTCATTTCCCAAGGCCGCTGTAACGGACAGTCACAAACCTAGCGGCTTCAACAACACACACTCATCACCTTGTGGTTCTCAGAATCAGAAGGCTGGAATGGGTCTTGTGGGGCAAAAAGTTGCCAACAGTCAGTTCCCCCTCTCAAGGTCCTGACGGGGGAAGGGCTCCAGCTGGTGTCAGCAGGGCCGGCCTCTTCTGGAGGCTCAAGGGAGAAGCTGCCTTCTTGCCTTTTCCAGCTTCCTGTGGTTGCCTGTTGGCCTCGAGGTCCCTGCAGCAGGTCACGTCACTCCCTCTCTGCTTTGTCCTTGCATCTCCATCTCAGCCTTCCCTCTTCCCTCTCATAAGGATCTTGGGATGACACTGGACCCCCCCTCACTGCTAACCCCGGAGAATCTCCCCTCTCAGCATCAGTCACATCTGCAAGGTCTCTGCAGAAGCTCTGAAGACTGACGTTGGCATCTCTGCAGGGGCCGATATTCTGCCCACCACAGGGGCCCCACCTGACGATAGAGAAAAGGCACCTAAGGCGGCGGGAAGGACATGGTGAGTGAAAGAGTCAGAGGCTGCGTGGAGCCAAAACTAGGCTGGTGTGTGCCAGTGGTGTGTGTAACAAGAGCTGTGTCTCATGTTTCTGCCTGCCTTCCTGCCTCAGCCACTGACTGGAGGTCGGCAGGTATGACAGTTCCAGAAATAGCACTTCTGGCCTGATCTGACCCACACACAGGTGACGGTCAGGTGCAGGAATCCCTGCCCCCACCTTGTGAGTTCTGGGGGTGCTGAGCCAGGGCCCCACCTCTGCCCTGGGCGCACCCTCTGCCAGGTTTGCTCAGAGGCTCCCTTGAGCTCAGACACACCCAGGAGCCAGAAGGAGAGGACTTGTAAAGACAGAGACCGTGACCCCGGGCAGGCTGGCGTCCCAGCCCTTAGGGAAGAAATAATGAGTAGATGATTGTGTGAGAAAGATGAGAATCAGGCAGATGAAGAGAAGGCCGGGGCAGCTGCCAGCCCCACTCCCTACCCCCAGGACTGAACCTCGGACCCCACCTGACATTCCAGCTCCACTGCGCTGCCCTGGTCTCTGTGACAACTGGGAATCATTTTACAAACAGAAGATTGTGGATCCGTGGGAACACAGAGGTGAGGGGAGCAAAGGTTGCCTTTACGGCAACTTGGTGTGAAGGTGTCAGGCCAGGCCTTGGAGCCAAATTCTATGCAGGATGACTCAGTGCAGAGGGCAGAAAACAGAGTGCTGTTCCTGGCCCTTTGCCTGGTAGCTCTGGTTATGGAGCCAGTGCAGCAGCAGGGTGCTCTGGGCCTTAAGTGACAGAATTCCTCACTCTCTGAGGCCAGAGCAAGGCTTTGGAAAGGCTGGAGGGAGGCCATGAAGTCAGTGAGGTTTTCCTGGCTTGCCCCATGGAGGTAAGATGGCTGCAGGGGCTCCAGGTATCATGTCTGTTGAGGACAACACCCAATCAGAAAGGAGGGCAGGCGGCAAAGGGGCTTCTCCTCTCACAGCTCTTTTATCACAAACTCCTGCCTTGTCCAGAAGCCCTTAAAGACTTTGCTGTGTTTCCCATCAGCAGGAATTCGAGGCAGGAAGGAATCTCACAGGGATTCCCAGTTCACCCCTAAATCAGTCCCTGGGGCCCGATGGGGCAGTGTCTGAGCGGCCCAGGTTGCAGTCCTGTGTCCTGAGAAGGAGGCCAGCCTTGCCCCTCAGGAACTGCATGTGCCCAATGTGAGTGTGTGTGCCCACCTGAGTGTGGCTGTTCACCTCAGTGAGTGTGTACATGTGTCAAAGCGGATGTTTGCATATGCACAGGTGTGTGCTGTGTGTGTACAAAGCAAGGGCAGGGCATGTGGGGAGGTGGGGTGATTGTGCAAAGCAGAGTGAGCTGGAAGAGTTCCTGGAAGACATGGATGGACCCGTGACAGACTGTCGGCTGCAGAGACCAGCCCTTCCAACACCTGCCTGCCCATTTTCTTGGCGATGGTCCCATTTTCTGTAAAGGACCTGGTCCAGGAGCTGATGCGCCACTCTCTCCTGCTCGCCTGAGTTCTGGACGTGCTGCAAAACAGTGGTCAGGAGATTGGCAGCAGGCCCTGGTTAGATGTGAGATTTCTTCTGTGGCATTCAGCACAGGTCACCTGAAGTCACTTTCGGACCCGTTCACAGTCCCTTCTGCACAGGTGATCTCCTCCCTTCCATTAAGAGTGTCGTTTTGATGATTAAAAAAAGTTGTGCCTGTTCATTGTAGCAAAACTAGAAGATACATGGAAAAAAATCATCTCTTTCTACAAATTAACATTTTGTAGATTCTTTTCTATGCAGATGAATTCATATTCTTTTCCTTTCTATCTGACATCCAGATAAATGGGTGTCAAAATCCGCAGCCCACCATGTGATACAGGCTTTCCTTTTGGTAATAGGTGCTGAACGCTTTCTTATGCCAGTGAACGTTCTTCTGCAGCGTGACTTCCAGTAGTATTCCACTGAATGGACGAAACACAGCGTAACTTCCGGTAGTATTCCGCTGAATGTACGCAACACGGTGACTTCCGGTAGTATTCCGCTGAATGGACGCAACACGGCGTGACTTCCGGTAGTATTCCACTGAATGGACGCAACACGGCGTGACTTCCGGTAGTATTCCGCTGAATGGACGCAACACGGTGTGACTTCCGGTAGTATTCCACTGAATGGACGCAACACGGCGTGACTTCCAGTAGTATTCAGCTGAATGGACGCAACACGGCGTGACTTCCGGTAGTATTCAGCTGAATGGACGCAACACGGCGTGACATCCGGTAGTATTCCGCTGAATGGACGCAACACGGCGTGACTTCCGGTAGTATTCCACTGAATGGACGAAACACAGCGTAACTTCCGGTAGTATTCAGCTGAATGGACGCAACACGGCGTGACTTCCGGTAGTATTCCGCTGAATGGACGCAACACGGCTTCATCAGCCGCTGCTTCGTCTCCTGTGAATTTGGGTTTCCCTGAGTTCCTTGTCAGCAGCAACTCCGCCTGAGTTTTATGGGCACGAGGCAGGCAGCCCCACCTGCCAACCACACAGCCCACTCACATGAAATGTCCCAACTCAGAAACTGGCACCCGAAACCTTCCAATCACCACTCCCATCACCTCCACTCTTCAGAAGCAATGGGGCCTGGTGAAAGGGCACTGTTGAAGGGACTTGCAGTCTCCTGGGGGTGGAGGTCACCTTCCCCATGCCCTGCAGCCCTCTCTTCCTCTCCTGCCCCCTCCTCCTCTCAGCACAGGAGACACGTGGGACATGCCTGATCCAGGACATGGAGGGGTCCTGGTGGGGCGGAGAGAGGAGAAAGGGGAGAAGGGAGGAGTTTGGAGAAGCCACTCCAGCGGGGAGGGGAGCAGGAGCTGGGAGATCCCACAGGGGCTTGTCTTTACAATGCTGCTCTGTGACCCTGGGAAGTCACCAGCTTTTCCATGCCTCAGTTTCCTTATCTATAAACAGAGAGCCTGGGAGGAGAGACCGCCAAGGTGGCCCTGGGGCTGACATCCTTAGAGAAGGAGACAGTAAGGGCCTTCCTCTCCCAGGGTTCCTTGTAAGCAGGGTGCAACTTGCCAAGGGTGCGGGCGTCTCTCTGCGGGGTGCCGGCCCTCACTCCTCAGGAGAGTTCTCCTTCACCGTGGGGTCTGGTGGAAGCCTCAGAGCCTGCCCAGCAGCTCTCCTGTGAGTGGGGCCAGTGCGGTCCCTGGGTGCTTGTGCCACCGGTGCTATAGAAGGGTGGGGACTGCATGTGGGGGCTTCTGCAGCACTGGAGGGGCCGACGGGGCAGGGCTGGCTGCTTGTCCCGTGCTGGAGGTGAGACTGGAGCACCAGGATTCTCTGCTGGATGTGGTCACCTGGCCTGGGGGGTTCAAAGTGCCTAGCACAGGTGCTCACCCCTCTTCTCCATGACCGCCGTCTGGACCTGGGGCAGGGAGCCTTCCTCTAAGCCTGGTCTCCTCGCTCCCCCAGGAAGGTCCTGGAGGGGATGGCCTGGGATCAGACAGGACTCAGTTCCCACCTCAGGAGGCCTCTGGCCATGGAGGTGGTAAGATGCCTGGTGTCCATCTGTCTGGGTGTCTGTCTGACTTGGGAGCTGGGCAGCGCTGCCTGTGTCCAGCGACATGGGGAGGTGTGTGCGGAAAAGCAGGTGCCACCTCGCTCACATGGGGGGAGTGGCTGGGGTGGGGGCTGATGGCTACTGGTTCTTTCCCCAGACCATTTCCAGGGACCCCGGCACCCACAAGCCGGATCCTGGCATGCTTGGCTGCTTTCCTTCAAGCCATGGCCTCATCAGACCCCAAGGCTCCCTAGACAGGGGTAATTATTCATGTGGCCAGGGACCCAGGTACAAACTCTTCTCCCTCCCACACCTGCAGAAGCTGCTCTTGTGGAATAAGCTCCAACGAGGGGAGGGCAATTGTTTATTTTAATCATTAAGACATTTTCTGTGATATACGTGTTGGCTGAAACAAATCAGAAGATATAGAAAAATATGAACAAAAAATTAAACACAGGGCAGGCACTGCAGCTCACGCCTGTGATCTCAGCACTTTGGGAGGCTAAAGCAGGCAGATCTCCTGAGGTCAGGAGTTCGAGACTAGCCTGGCCAACATGGCAAAACTCCTTCTCTACCAAAAATACAAAAGTCAGCCAGGCATGGTAGTGCCTGCCTGTAATCCCCAGCAACTTGGGAGGCTGAGGCAGGAGAATCACTTGAACCTGGGAGATGGAGGTTGTGGTGAGCCGAGATTGTGCCATTGTATTCCAGCCTGGGCAACAGTGAGACTCCTTCTAAAAAAAAAAAAATTTAAAGACAAAAAAATGAAAACCATTCATGAGCCCATCAATGGGGGCAATGCCCTGCTAGCAACCCACGGTGCTTCCTT